CACCTCGCTCAGCCAGTGAGCGGCCGGTCTGTATGTGGGATCCGAACCCTCGGCGGGAGCGCTGCCGCACTTCCCAAGCAGCACACTGTAGCAGTGCGCCACCGGGCCGGCCCCTGGAGTTTTAATTGTGATCTAAGTTCTCTCTTACCATAGATTTCGGTGATTGCAGGTCACCTTCTTTGGCTCATTTTAAGTGTGAAAATAGACATAGGATAACTACAAATTCTGTTCGTGAAATACTCATAGAGCTAAGGTCAGAGATTTCCCTATGTAAAAACATTTGACTTCAATTGTTGTATCCGTAGTTCTGTCATTAACAAAATGGTACTACTATATTGTTTTAAGTATAAAATATGTAAAATAAAGCATCAAAGCTTCTAAGATACATAAACTAATACTATTTTTCCAATTTTGTTTCAGTTACAGTGAAATGTATTTCTCTTCCTGTACATGTAATGATTAGATCTGTGGTAGTAGATTTTGTTTATTTACCTAAAAATCAAACTTCCTGGCTTAGTAGTTATACATAACTGATATTCAGGAAGAGTCATACCTGTGATTTTTTTTAAGTGTCCTGATCTCTGGGTCAGCTTTTTATCATAAAATATTCCAATATAATTAAAATTTTCTAAGAAAGATTTTTCTTTTTTTTTTTACATAACATTTACATTTTATTAGGTATTGTTTTTTTAAATTTTATTTTGTCAATATACAATGTAGTTAGTTATTGTGTCCCATCACCAAAACCTCCCTCCCTCCTCCCTCTCCGACCTCCCACCCAGATGTGTCCCCTCCATTTTCTCGTTGTAAGAGCTTCAAAAAAAAAATAAAAGTTGAGGTTGTTAAATCTTCCTCTCCCCCCCACCCCCGGTTTTGTTGTTGTTGTTGTTGTTGTTGGTGTTGTTGATGTTGTTGTTGTTGCTGTTTGTTTGTTTTTGTGTGAGTGTGTGTGAGAGTGTGTGTGTGTATGTATGTGTGTACCATCTCATCCCAGTTAGGATGGCCAAAATCCAAAAGACGCTGAAAGATAAATGCTGACGTGGTTGCGGANAAAAAAAAAAAACCTTCCCAGTGATATAAAACCACAAAATCAAACATTCTAACAGCAAATGTGTCTATGAATAAGGCCTTAGTTTTCCTTTAAAAACAGGTGTTAAAGACTTGACTGCATTAATCTGTATTGCAAATAATGCATAATTTGCAGACCTACCTTTAGCAGACAGAACAGCAAATGGTACTTTTTTACTCTTTATAATGGAGTCTTGAACATTGGGAATATTGGGAACATCTCCCAAAGGATATATCCAGGTAATTATGAGAAAAATAACTATCACAATTTTAGAAACTTCTCACAGGTAGGAGAAGTTAAGGAGTGCTGATGAGAAGAATAATNTTTATAAGAAAACTTTTGTTGAGTGTTCACTAAATCTTTTGCATGTACAGGTCCTATGATACAGATTCTATTAGCATGCCCATTTCACAAGGAGGATGCTAAAACACACAGATTGAGAAGGTCTCCCCACGTCAGACATCTACTAATTGGCAGGATTGAGATGCAAACCTATTCATTTCCCTTCAGTGTTGTAGCCTTAATAACCTTCTATTTGCTTGTTTGGTAACCTATTGTATCACTATATTTCTTTTTATTTAAAATTCAATTTGATGATTTTCTGAGTCAGAGAGAGTTATCCTTTTAATAGTTTATCCTTGATGGACTAGAAGCCCTTTATGGCCCCAGAACAGGCTGGACTGAAGAGAGAGAAGACCACTGCTTCTTTCTACCCCTCCAAGTTCAGGTGATCCCATTGATCTAAGATCAGATGACAGTGGCTTCGGGGAGAAAACCAGTTTGTTACATAGATGTGTATTATCTATCAAAAATATTAAGAAGACAGAACATGCAACTTACAACTAAGAAACTAAATTCATTTCTATTAACATTTCATGCCCCATGAAGAAAAACAGTAAAGGCATAAATTACAGAAGAGTTCATTCCCACGGACTCAATATCTCAAATGCCATTTATACACATTTTAAAACAATAATGGAAAAGTCCATAGTTTTTATCTAAAGAAGAGTGAAAAGACAAAACATGAGAAATAAAGTCTTGTAAATCTCCATCATAAGCTGATTCTTACAAAGTTTCAAACAAACTATGGAGGAAATAA